AATAAACCCTCTTTGGTCAACTTTTGCTGCAGATAGGGAAAAATTTTTCTGCTGTCAATATCATCACACCTCTGCAGTGATTTAAGAACGCTAGCGAGTGTTTTATGAATCTCTAGGCAGTGATAAGCGGAAAGGTTTTTAAATGGACTACTTTTCTAATATTTTGTATATCTTTGAATTTCCACTGCTCCAGAAATTCAAAATTGAGGAGCTTTCAGCTAACTGGGTCAAAAACCACATCTAATCGCCGCAAAACTCATGCTGTCGATGTGTGCAAGAACTTCCTTACTTGATGGCAGTAAACCACACGATATTGTTCTCCTTGGTCTCCGCAAGTCTGTGAGCATGGCTCCCATTCGCCTTCAAACCATTCGGCGGTGCAATCAACTGTTTCACAGGGCTTCTCGAACTATAAAATGATCAATGTCAAACACTACACAACTGTCACAAATTCTCCTAGCACTATATGCCTACCTCAGGCTTTGTAAAATTAGCATTGTCACACAGAGCATCGTTCACACGACGTTGCGTTTTAGTATCGATGCAGTACGGAGTACGAGTTTGCACGCCTTGAAAAATGTATTTGTTAATTCTGAAGAAGTACCATGGGTTTTGGTTGCAAACCTTTCCCGCAAGTCACAGAGCATGACGACCACTCTCCAGGTTTGTACATATAGTCAACATCTTCCACAATTGGAATGGAGAATTCGTAATTAATTGCAGCTTCTCGGTTTCCTTTACGGAATAGAACGGATACGGTAACATCCTGGAATGATAGGTTTCAATTTAATTTCTTGAACTAAATTTATCAAATCACACCTCCTTCAAAGGTCCTTTCGCAGTGATTCGCTCAGGCTTTGAATCATCATATTCAAAATAAACTCCATTCAGTTCTACGTCTTTTTCTACTTGGATCATAGAATTTCCATTCAAGAAGTAATGGTCCGTCGAATTTTTCAATGCTAGAATGCAATGATATGTTTTATCTAAAGAAGGAGCGCAGAGAAATGGTTAAAGTTTACCCAAGTTGTTCGAGCTTGGTCGTGCCTCCTCAATTTTAATCGCGGTAGCACCGGCAGGTAATCGCAACACATCGTGATATCCTGGTGAGAGGTTACGCTCATCAAATGTCCCCTCAATGGTCTTGCATTTCGAGCCATCCCCATCGCAAACTCCGCATTTGTCAGTTTTTAGTTCTGGAAAATTATGGCCATTGTGGTCCATTAGAACTTTCTGAAGGATTAAAGGAGGAGTAAAGAAATTCCTAGTTTTTGCTGCTTTACTACTCGCTTCATGATAATATATCCAACATTTTATTATCTTTCTATGAAATTGTGTGATTCCTTTCCACCTCTGCTCACCTTCATTTTATGGCTGGTGTTTTAGAGGTAAAGGATACAGCCAGATCTTTAAGCTCTAAAGAGGAGCTGACTTATTAAGACAGAATTATAAAACCGCTAAAATGACAGAAAAACATATGCAGATCCCAGTATCAAACTAGTAGATTTTGTTTATCATACCAGACATGTAAGCTTGGACAGCTCATATGCCAGGTTTGCCGAACGAACGTTTGCGAGCTTGAATATAAACATTGCCTCCGTTTCTGTGCGATAACAGTATTATTTGTCATGAAAATACGGGTGATACTTGACTCCATCGACTCCACTACGGAAATTTCACCAAAGAATATTAAGAATTTATGGTAGGTATTGTATTTGTAGAAAAATACAAAAATCTCGCTAGCTATTCCGATTTTTTGACCGATTCTGCGGATTTACGTCTGACTGATTAAGATTAAGTTCTTTTTGATATCTGTGCACTCGCGGGTAGATTTCTGGGAACATAACATAGTCGGTTTTCCTTGTTCTGGAATTTGCGGTAAGAAGCGAATGAAGTTCCGTACATTTAAATACTAAGAAAAAAGAGTATTTTTTGGAAAGTAGATGTCAGTCCTTTGTCATTCTTAACCATCTGATTTGATGCCTTCAAGGGGGAGACTGAAGTTTCTAGATTTTCAGATTACTCTAACTTTTTAGCTCAAAGGAGCTGACGCAAAAAACCAAAGAAGAGACAATTCTGGATGAATAAAGTCTAGTCAATTTTTTCTAATAAAGGCTTGAGAAGTGACTTGAAGCTAGAAATCATCAATAGGGGATAGATCCTTTTATAGGGTGTTACAGTTTCTCAAATTCTGCGCCATATCTAATTACGATGTATACTGGATGGTTGAATGCGACACCAATAACGCAAAGTTACTTGAGTCTGTGAATCACTCCTTACAAGGGTAGGGTACTTAGTGGCTGGCCATTTAGAATTGAAGTCATAATCCTACATACGAAGCGATAATTTCAAATTTGCCTTCCATATCTGTTATACTACCCCAAGGAAAAAAATATGATCATTCGTGCGATTGAATGCTCAAAAAAACCAAAAATCTCCCGAAGGACAAAGTAATTTTATTTTTCGGTTGTAAGAGTCTACACTCTGGTAAACATTATCATGTCCGTTGTTTGGGATGAATTTGAGCATTCGTACAAGAAAGCATGTCGTTACGATAAATTTCGCGTAAAGAAACTTCCATGGCTCTATCCAGAGAATTGCTTAACAGATGTGAAGAGGAGGTGTAATTTCAGCGTTTTAAAGCACATATATTGATAGAGACTTTTACGACCATGAACACTAATTGGCTTCCCCTACTATTGTTCAACTGTTTTCCATAATTGTTCTTACCAGATCCGAGTTTTCCATCGCATCCAACTGGTAGACATACACCATCCACACAAATGTCTTCACCCTTGGCGTCGCACTTGGTGCCATCGACGACCTTCTCGTCCCACTTATAGTAGAAACTGCCACCTTCGGGTTTGCAGAGTAGTTCACATCTGCAATTTCAATGTCCTACCGTAACCGTTGTACAATATAAGCCAATTATGTAATTCATAGTTACGAGCTGGTGATGTCATTTCGCCAGACGTTGGCAGCAGAAGTGCAACAGACTGTGGCTTTGTTGCGTCACAGTAAGGTGGTTTTAGGTTACCGCTAATGTGATGCAATATGCAGTAATACTCACTTGTTCTTTCCTATGTAAGGTTGCCATTTGTGATAGTGGCCACCAAGATCCTCATCATTATGCTGGGCGCATTGCTCTGCTCGGAAATCTGTTCCTTCTGGACAAGGGTCAAGATTGCAAGAAACGTACCGTACCGATGGACCAGTACAGTCTCCACTGCAATTGGTATCTCTTTACAAGTTATTGCTTATTCTTATGATATTAAGCTACAATTACTGCAAATTAATGACTCATTCATTACTTCCCCCACCCCCTCAATTGTTCTCTCCAAGTATTATTTACTTCGACTAGGTCAAACAATCAACACATGTGCACATCTACAGATGTTGTTGATCAACGGTGACGATGTGGTGAGATTGACAGTAAACAAATAGGCGAAGTTTATATTGTCGAGTCCGTAGATGCAAAATAGTTACGGGAGTGATAAGCGATCAATGATCAACAAAGGTTTTTTCTCTTTCAAGCAATATAAGACTTTATAATGTCGTAAGCTTGCTGATTGAAGCGCGTGGAAAAATATTGGGAATTTCTTACCATCACGATTATAATGTAATCCACTGCAGGAATATTGTGGTATTTGCAAAAGTAGTAATTCTAAGAATTCATTAATCATAAAAAATTAAGGTTTTTCACGGCAAACATCCATGCCATCTTGTAAGGCATTCTTACGTTTAAGAAATAAGTGGTATGCGATCAGAACAGTATCCCATCACAATCCTTACACTTTAAATATTTCGAGTCTACTGCAGATTGTCCAGAAAGAAAACGCGCTTTCAAAGTTTCTCATTATGGGTTGGAATAAAGAGAATATGCTTCAGAAACTACTCTACGATTGCCCAATCGACTAAGCTTCTGGTCACTAAAGCTGGTTAAAAAGGAAGCTGAAATCCTAACACCGAGCTTCTTTTCCAGCAACTGACAAACGACTAATAAAGCCTCTTATTACTGAAAGACAGACTGAAAGTAGAGTAGCAAATAAAAAAAATTTGAAAATTCATGGTGTAAGCTTCAATAGCTTTTATGATACAACTGCGTCTCAAAGCTATCAGCTTTCAGTTTTTGA